TTCTTCTTCTTCTTCTTCTTCTTCTTCTTCTTCTTCTTCTTCTTCTTCTTCTTCTTCTCGCCAAACTAGATTAACCATGCATTGTTGTTGGTAGTATGCCTATGGTTCGGAAGAACCAAAAAAAACAAATGAACCAAAGGGGAAACCCCAACATCGTCAACCGATGCCATGCTGTTTGGAGGCACTTGATTTTGAATCATCATCCCCATATCAGGTATGAAACAATATTTCCAGTAGACCTTTACTGGTTTTTGGTTTGCCAAACATCAGTTGGTTTGTGTGAATGGCTAGAGCGGCATCTGTATCATGGATCGATCATTGGTGCCTGCCAGGGTATCTCTGGTTTCTCTGTCAACCAAATCGTTTATCTGGGAACACAATTTTCGGTCACAACACCTTGGCGTTTGTAGAACCTGTCCAACACCTCGTAGTTCTTCAACCACATCAGGCGTTGAAACACCGGTATTTGGCTCTCTTCTCGCCAAGGGGCTCCATGTGTCGGTCCATCCGGTGCCGGCAGAGCACGTGCTTCAGCCGCAAGAACGACGTCCGGTCCCTGCGGAGGGATACACGGTCCAATCAAGGGATGGATCACTGGATGCAATTGACACAACGCTGTTCAGATGTCCATGTTTGGACATCGGAAAGGATGCGGCTTTGGCTGGAACACCATTGTGGCTGTTGATTCCCGAAAGCACATGCGGAGGGTTTGTCTGAAAGAAAGGCTACCAATTTCAACTGTCCAACCATGGCCATCACCATCATCACCATCATCACATCCTCGTAATCATGCAGGTGTAGAAATGCAGGTGATGCAACTGCTACAACACACCTGCATAGATACAGGTTTTTGGATACAGTTGGTAGCTACAGGTGTTTAGATACAGGTGAAAACACCTTCCTATACAACCTTTTTTAGTTTCTCTTGAGGCGGCGGGCTGGTCCGCGCAGTGCTCACAGGCCCGGATACGCGAAGCTGTAGTATTAATATCCGAATCGTCTTGGGTTTGGGGCGATCCTCTGCAAAGATTGCGCGTGTGGAGTGTTCACAGGTGATACCTCTGGAAGCCCGAAAGCAACACAGACCAAGATATGTTGGCAAAATGTTGCTTTTCGAAGCAGCACGGCCTTGGAAAGATCTTCTATGATACGCAGCACCAAGAGGCTTTGAAAGCATTTTTGATGCGACCAAGATCTTGGTCGACCGGAAAGGTTTGCGATGTGACCCGGATGCGGGGTAACCCTGCCCTGCGGATCGATCGCCTGCAATCATAGCACAACATCAGACCACAAACATAGCGTCCTCTTGGCATCTCTCCTTAGATCGTCCCGCTATGACAGCATCCGCGGCACAGAGGCAGATGCAAATCCGGGCCGGCTACAGGGCAGCAGGTCACCCGCTAGCTCTGATTCTCATGCAATGGATGAAGTGGGGATCCAGCCATAATCACTTGTGTGCAACCACCAGCTATGAAAAGACCACCCAAAAGAATCCGTTCAGGGTCAGAGAATCCATGGATATATCCACGGACTATGCAAAAGTCGACCAACCGTTGTATTCTCTGCCCCTGAGACCCCTGGATGTGACAGGTCCAATTCGGAGCATCTCCAAATCGGAGGCCGCGATCCGTCGACCAGATGGCGATCTTTGAGCCGGCCCCCATCCATCCGTTGGTGACCAAAGAAAGGTTGTTTTTGGAGGTGTTCTTGGGGTTAGGGAGGCCCAGGCCCTTTTTGGCACGGATCGTCTCTTTTTTCGTCTCAAGTGACATGAATGGAAGTGCCAGAATGGCGGGAACTCTTCGGAACACTGCACCATGAGGAAGTCAGTTTGGCAGAAAAGAAGGCTAAACCAATGAGTTTCACCGAATCCTGCATGAAAGTCGATCAACGACCCGTCCCTATCCAACCGGATTTCCCTTGGCGTGGAGCTTTGGTCAGTGTTTCCTCTCAGTCCTATGCACCCCAGTTCAGCATGTTGCCCATCGCAGCGACCACCGTTTTGACACGTACCAAGCAGCTATGGACAGGTTCCCGTCCTGCGATCAAAACCACACCGTCAGCACATCAACACCAAACAAACGAGGTGAGAGGTTGGTTCTTATGACCTAATGGGCCATAATTGGGGGTTTACGTTCACCAAAAGCATGAGTGACAAATACAGCTTCAACAAAGAATACGGTATGTGTACATAGTATGTGTTAAATATGTTACTTTTAGCAATATCTAAAGAGTTACATTCCAATTCCCACCTTCTCCTCGCATCTCCCGAAACCGGTTCTCCAAACAAATCGCTTCCAAGGACGCATGGCTGTGCTGCACGTCCTCCGATTTCCATCAGCTCAAAGGTGACGCCGTGGCTGGGCAGCAGCTCCCGGAGCTCGGCGAAGATGGCGTCCTCCGGGTCCAGGTGGAAGAACATCCCTGCAGCGCAGGCCACTGCCGCAGGGAGGCAAGAAAGCGCAGACTCCGTTGGTGAATTGGTCCGACCAAGCGGGATAGGAGGGGTTTGATGCCAGGTAGCAAATATAGAACTACAGTATCTCTTAGTTGTTTGCTTAATGGGTATCCCGGAATCCCCTCAATTTGATCAACCAACCAATAGTAAAGGGCCTTCTATGGCGATGAACCAGAGCAGCCGAGCCAGGCGAGTTTTCACCAGAGGAAGATGTGGGTCAGAACCAGCGGAAGCACGTGGATCTTTTTGGAAGATCGGGTTCAGTGCCGAATTGGCCTGTTCCAGGCCGTCAGGCTCCATGCGGCTCCCAAATTCGCGGACCAACTCCCATGTCATGGGCTCTTCGCTTTGGACACCTTGACCATGTCGCGCATCGGGGCTTTTCGTTCTCTCTGATCCCGGCGGAGGATGGGGAAACGCAGGCGCCCTCCTGCACCATCCAACAAGCAGTTCTGGTATCTAGTGATCCAGTGACCCCAAAACAAATGGAAAAGTGAATATCCTCTCAAAATCTGGACACCATGTAAACTTTAAGCTGAATATATGAGGACCCCTCTAACAGCGGGAAGCCCAGATGTCATACTGTCCATGCGTTCACTTAAGTGTTCACACATCAGGCTTTCTAGGGGCTTTGGACGACATTAACCCCCTGCCGGCCCCTGCCTGTCTGCATTCCGATGCTTGGCTTCGGATCATCTTCACCTCAGCGCCCATGCGATCTGTCAACGTCCTCGGCAAAGTGTGCTACGAAACTAACATCGAAACCAAAGGGTAAAAGCAACAATAGCCAAACCCTGCTGTGGGTTGCGATGTTACTTTGACATACAATCTGTGCAGTCACTTGTATAGCCTCTTTAATTCTGGTGTCTTCTGGTCATTATCCGCAGCGTATGTGAAGGAATGACCTTTCCGTTGGATGACGTTGTTGGCTTTACAACCCCCCAAAAGTTTTGGGTGGTTTTCCTCAACTTCCATGGTACCTGCTATGACAAGCCATGAGAGCACACAACTGTCTACGGCAGAGAAAACCCGGATTTACTCGGTCTTTTTTGAATGCATTTGGCATGGATTCAAACCTCTTCATTCCACAACGGGTGATCTTAGCATGAGAGCTCAAACCCGGATCCTGTACCATGGTGTGTGTCTGTGTGTGTGTGCGCTGCAAAAATACAGTACAGTTGACTGCCTGTGTGTGGTTTGTCTGGTCCGGCTCCCGTGCTTCGTTTGATGGTTGGGCCCCCAAGGGTGGCGGGTGGTCGCCGTGTTTCCGATTGGTGATCCACTCCTGAAAGCTCCTGGTTCCGGTAGAGACACAATACGGCCGTGTGAGGTTTCACACCCACAAGGTCTCCTTTTGACTCGAGGGGTGCCAAAAAAAAGAGTTCTGGAATGTTCTGGAATCATGCAAGTAGAGAACCAAATGTGATGCTATCTCTCACTAAAGGTGTCTTCAAGCAGCGCCATCACACATTGTCCCTCAAACCTAAGAATTCTCGGACTTAAGAACAAATTCGAAACAATCCTGGGCAGCCTCCTTGACAGACATCAGCCTCAATGATTCAAGCTCTCCAGAACACAGATTCACTAATTAGTGCCCGAGTCAGGATCTGTATGTCCAGCAAACTGTTTGGCTTTCGGCTCAAGAAGTCACCTGGTTCCAACTGAGAACTTGTCATTGTAGTAACCTCTCCATGTGGCACATCTCCAGGTCCAGCGTGGAACCCTCTCTCATGCACCCACGAGAACCGCCCGACTCGCCCCCGACCCGCCCGTTCCGACTAGCCCCAACCACCCGAGACCTCCACCCACCTCCACCGGGCCACAGGAGTCGTGTAGGAACCGCTGCAGCAGCGACGTCTTCCCCGACGCGGGGGGACCCACCACCAACAGCACCGGCGGCGCCATAGACCGCGGGCGGGGGCCCCGAAGTGGCGTGGCGTTTGGGATGGGCGGACGGGAGTGAGCTGGGGGACGTGGCGGGAGTGAGTTGGTGGTAGGCCTTTCAGAGTGTGTGTTGTTGGCCTTTCAGAATCGAAGCACGAGCAACTATGAAGTTTTCACGGCGGGCGGAGAAGGGTGATCAGCTGGTGCGTGGAGAATTTGAGCTGTAAGCACTGTAAGCTGTATGGTCGGGATACTGACACTGGTGGTTTGGAGTGGCAAGACTGGCAAGACTTATCCATTCTCAAACTAAAGACCTCAAAGCATCAAACCAATCTGGGTGATTAGACAGACTGCATCTTCTTGCAAACGACCAGCCATCTGAGAAACTGTAGAGAGACTGCATCACAAGTCCATCGGGTCCTGCCGAACACAGCACCAATCTTGGAACCCATTAAAGGTAGAAATCCATGTACAGAGAGAGAGAGAGAGAGAAAAAAAAAAAAAGATAATTTGCACGACAGCAGGATGCCAAAAGTCC